GAGGTGCTGCTGGTACTGGAGCTGCTGGGGACCCTGCTGCTGCTGGCGGTGCTGCTGGAGCTGCTGGGACTGGCCCTGCTGAGGGGGTTGGAGCTGGAGGTGCTGAGCGGCCACGGCCGTACTACGTTCCGCTCCTTCAGCAGGTTCTTGGCCTTCCGCCCTCTCCTGGTCCTACTCCTCCCCTACTGAGTCCACCGCTTGTCCAGTCGCAGTCACAGTTACAGCCAGTCTCTCCACTTCCTGGTCCTTCTCCCTACACTGCGCCGACGGGAGGTCTTACGGAGCGTCGTGAGCCTGAGTCTCGTCCTCCGTCGCCTGAGACGCGTCCAGAGTCGCCTGTCCGCGCTGTCCGCGCTGGTCGTCGTGTTCCACGTCAGCGTCCTCCTCCTGTCCTTGGCACTCACTATATGACCCTGCGTCCCTCTACTGCTCCACAGCGTGTCCCACTGCCGTCTCCACCAGCGTCCTCTCTTCCTGCTCTTGCTGACCCGGAGTCTGACTCTCTTCGTGCTGCCAGTCCTACTGTCACGCGTCTCCTTGCCACTGCTGTCACTGACCCTTCCTTTGAGTCCTCTGCTGCGTCTGCTCTAGTCGCTGAGCTTGTTGACTTTGCTGCTGCCTGTCGTCTAGACTACGCTGCTAGCCTTGTTGCTGAGTCTGAGTCTGAGTCTGTCTGTCCTCCGTCTGTCGGGGGTGAGTGTGCTCTTGGCACGGACGTCCTTGAGGACAAACAGGAGGAGTTTGAGTGCTTTGCCGCTGCTTTGCCTCATCTCGTGTCCATGCTATTTGCCCCTGAGGGAGACCCGGATGCACCAGACATCCCGACCCCACGCTCCTACGCAGAGGCGATGGAGGGTCCCTACTCCTCTCAGTGGCAGACAGCCATGGACGCAGAGATGGCATCCTGGAAGTCCACAGGCACCTACGTCGACGAGGTTCCCCCACCTGGGGCGAACATCGTCAGTGGCATGTGGATTTTCAGGGTGAAGCGGCCGCCGGGTTCTCCGCCTGTCTTCAAGGCGCGTTACGTTGCACGAGGCTTCAGTCAGCGAGAGGGAGTTGACTTCTTCCAGACCTTCTCCCCGACCCCGAAGATGACCACTCTTCGGGTTCTGCTGCACGTCGCTGCTCAGCGTGACTACGAGCTCCACTCTCTTGACTTCAGCACTGCGTTCTTACAGGGCAGCCTGCACGAGGAGATCTGGCTGCGCCGCCCACCTGGCTTCACTGGGTCGTTCCCTCCTGGTACCCAGTGGAGCCTCCGGCGGCCAGTCTACGGTCTCCGCCAGGCACCCCGTGAGTGGCACGACACACTGAGGACTACTCTTGCTGCTCTTGGGTTTGCTCCTTCTACTGCTGACCCGTCGCTGTTTCTACGCACCGACACCACTCTGCCGCCGTTCTACGTTCTTGTTTACGTAGACGACTTGGTCTTTGCTACTGCTGACACTGAGGCACTCGCCCACGTGAAGTCGGAGCTGCAGAAGAGACACACGTGCACAGACCTGGGTGAGCTGACAAGCTATCTTGGCTTGCGGATCACCCGGGACAGAGCACAGCGCACCATCACCTTGACTCAGTCACACATGGTGCAGCAGGTCCTTCAGCGCTTCCGCTTCACGTACTCCTCGCCTCAGCCCACTCCTCTGCCTACCGGTCACTCGCTCTCAGCTCTGCCTTCGGATGAGTCCGTAGAGCCGAGTGGCCCGTATCCAGAGCTTGTGGGCTGCCTCATGTACCTGATGACCTGCACTCGACCTGACCTGGCATACCCTCTTAGCATCCTAGCACGCTATGTCGCTCCCGGCCGTCACCGGAAGGAGCACATGGATGCCGCTAAGAGGGTGTTGCGCTACTTGTGCAGTACGTCGGGCATGGGGCTCGTGCTTGGAGGTCGGAGCGACGTTGTCCTCACGGGTCACTCAGACGCTTCTTGGGCTGACGACCAGGCTACGCAGCGGTCGTCTCAGGGTTACACCTTCAGCCTTGGCTCTGGTTCAGTTTCTTGGCGTTCTACTCGCTCTTCTTCTGTTCTCAGCTCCAGTTGTGAGGCTGAGATCTACGCCACAGCCATGGCTGCACAGGAGTTACGCTGGCTCACCTACCTGCTGACCGACCTGGGAGAGCGGCCTCGTTCTCCTCCAGTGCTGTACGTTGACAACAAGGCCGCCATTGCCTTGTGTGAGGAGCACAGACTGGAGCACAGGACGAAGCACATCGCTCTGCGCTACTTCCTTGCTCGAGAGCTGCAGCAGCGTGGTCAGCTTCGTCTGCGTTACGTGGCCACTCGGGCCAACACTGCTGATGTGTTCACCAAGGCGCTTCAGCCTTGTGACCATCAGCGTTTCTGTACTGTTTTAGGCCTTGTGCCTACTCTCCCTCACTTGCTCACTTCTTGACTCTGCTTGTACTGTGATCTCTATACATATATACCTGCATGTTTACTCTTGTTAGGTTGTGATCACTGTACCTCTTGTTATATTATCAAACTGCATGTGAACTGGTCTTGTGACCACTTGCTTGTGCTCGGAATTTGTGTGGTTTCCTTGAGATCCACCCTGAGCTTGCTTTGCTTTGCTTTGACTGGTCTTGTGACCATCTGGTTGTCTCCCACTTAGCCTATGGGGGTGTGTCAAATATTATACATGTTCATATTGTGTAGGCTATAGTGGGTTTAGCCTTAGGGGGTACAACATTGCTAGGGTTTCCTACTTGTATCACCCTGCTGCCTAGTTTCACACATTCTCGTTCAGTTCTACATTCTAACAGCAATCATCGACGGGTTACGTGACAACAGCCTTTCGCCACTGCTCCCACTGGTCCAGCTAACGTATGGTAACCCATCGAAGCTGTACCTTGACTCAAACTTCGCTAGCCACCCCCTAAACAGTGAACGCGGCGTAAGGCAGGGGGACCCACTCGGCCCCCTACTATTCGCAGCTGGGATACACCCAGCCGTTCGCGAAACCGCCGAGGCACACCCCCAGGTACTCTGCCTGGCATATGCGGACGACGTCACATTTTTGGGGGACGACAAGGACACTGTAGCTGCCTTCACTCTCTTCACCAGCAAGCTAGCGCAACTGGGGCTAAAACACAACCCGCAGAAATGTGCTGCATGGAGCACAAACAGCGACGAGTCAACACATCTGCCACCAGGGGTCCCGTTTTCGAAGGACGGGATATGCCTACTTGGCTGCTTCCTGGGGCCGGCAGCAAGCGCCGCCAAATTCCTAGTGGGGCAATTAGATGAAATGGTGAAGCCGCTGTCGCTCTTAGAACGGGCCGACCCCCAAGTAGCCTCCCTGCTCCTGACCCGCTGCATTTCTAGACGAGTAGCCTACCTCACTAGAACCACACCGCTAAACCTCCTTCCACGAGACACCTGGGCACAGCGGGGAAGAGACCTCCTAGCCGCGCTCTTGACATCATGCGGGATTAGAGTTCCTACCTGTAGCGCAGAGCAGTCAAGAGTGTGGGCGCAGGCATCACTTCCTTCATCCCTAGGCGGGCTGGGAATCACAGACCCACTTGTAGAGGGGGTCTACGGTTTCATAGCCAGCTTCACACAGGCAGCACTATTCTTTTCCTCACTCACGCTAGCACCGAAAACCGCCCTGACCCGAGCACACAGCCACATGATTTTGCCCCGTGATGTCACCACCCCGCTTCATTCCTGGCTCACGGAGTGCGAGACAGCCATTCCCACTGACGCACGCGAAATACTTGAGAAGGAGCGGCTCTCTCGGTCGGACATTAAGCTCCAGCACACACTAGCCCTCAAAGTCCAGGGTAGTAGGTACGCGGTACAGGTACAGGAAACGAGGCGAATGAAGCTGAACCCGCTCTCCGGGCACACACAGAGAATGTTCTCACTCACAGGCTACGGCACTGGGGACTGGCTGATGGCAATACCGGTAGCATCGTCAAGACGTATAGGCCCGGTACACTTCAGCAATGCCGTGCGCTTCCGGCTGAGCCTCCCTTTCTCTACTCCGAAGAATTGCGATTGTGCAGAACACACCACTATCACAGACCCGCGCCTCCCCAACCACCTCTTCCGCTGCGGCACGGGGAAACACCGTACGAATACTCATAACGAACTGCGCGACGCATGCATCAGCATGGCGCAAGACGCAGGGTTCATAGTTCACACGGAAACCAACGTCTATTGCCCCATTGAGGAGCAGACAGCAGACTTTACAATGACGGACAGAAGTAGTGGGGCGGTTTGGGTGTGTGATGTGACGGTCACGGACCCTATTAGTACCAGGGACCCAGAGGCGCGGAAAGGCAGGGGATGGGCGGCCCGAGAGCAGGCAGACAAGAAGATAAAGCATTATGCGAACTGGCCAGAGACAGTGGGCTTCTTCCCACTCGCAGTCGAGACCTACGGCTGCCCATGCGCCGAGGTTCCTGTGTTCCTGAAACTCCTTGCAGACACGGCGGCTCAGCGATACTTCAATGCCGCCGCCTGTAGGGGGGATAGGGCAAGAATTATACCTGGGGGACTGTTTTACGGTCTTGGAGCCTCTTCTTGAGCTCTAGGTGACTTAGAGGATTTGGCTAGTCTAGACTCCCTTGCATGTTCGCACCTTGCTGTTGCTCATTGCATGTGTGTACCCTTCTGGCTTATCGATATACGGACCATTAGAGAGAGAGAGAGAGAGAGAGAGAGAGAGAGAGAGAGAGAGAGAGAGAGAGAGAGAGAGGCCCTAGGAGCTAGTCCTTAGCCTCTCCAGCACTCTCCAGCCTAGTATAAAGTGCTCCTCTGCAGTTAGCTCTCCTCATTGTTCGGTTCTCTTCATTTGTTTCTCCTAACCGAGCGGCTCGCGCCGGCCGCCGAAGGCGGCCGACGCTGGACAGCGCGGCCTTCGGCCGCGCGTGAGGGAACGACATGCACACAACACACAGAGTTGCTCGTAACGGCTATACAAACATGGCAAGTCCTACCGCGGCCTAGCCGCGCAAACCTCTAATGGCAGAGCCGGAGCCCGCGTCTACATGCGGTGAGCTCCGAGGGCGTGAAGAACGCCCGTCAGGGAGCGCCACAGCTCCCGGACCACAAGCGTGCTTGCGCCGATCGCGGCGGCTCCAGAACCAGCACGCAAATGGCGCCGCAAGCCGCGCACAGCCTCATCAAGCGGCCCCGCCGCCGCAACGCCTCCCTCGGCGGGCGCAGCCAGCACGGGCGCCAGCAGCCCTGCAAGCTGATCGGCTGCGTCCAGGCAAGAATCGCGATGTCGATCCAGGAACAACTCAGGGGGGGCCGCAGGGAGAGACGAATGTGCAAGAACCTGTATCAGAAGCAGTGCGTGAAAGCTCTCCGCGAGACGGAAGAGCTGGCCGAGGGTCGCCTCCGGAACACGGGCCCGAGGGGGTTGCAGCGCCTGAGCAAGGAACTGGAATGGCTCCTCAACGGCAAGAGGAGCCGGGCCACCCGCCGTCACCGCTCTGCCTCCCACAGCCACAAATTCTACTCCTGCCACAAGTGGGACGGGCGGCAGATGCAACCGCGACCCTGGAACGGGAGCAGACGCAGCATCAGCGGGAGGCGATGGGGCCGGAACACGAGATTGGACTGGTGCAGCAGGGAGCGGAACCTCAGGAAGCGCCGCCTGACGCTGAGCTGGATAGGCGGCGGCAACGTGCGAGCTGCCTTGGGTCTGAGCAGCCCTCTCCTCACGCATCGCGGTCGTTACCGCCCTTTGCAGATCCGCCATCCTCACGGGCGGATCATACGATCCTCCGCCATTGCGACCGCGAGGACCCCACCAGCCACCGCGACCGCCACGGTGCGCTTGCCACTGACCCGACTGATGATTGCGCCGGGGAGAATTGCGCCGGCGCCGGGAGGACGCCCGATCCTGTTGGGGCGCTGGAGAATGGGGGCGAGATAGGCGACGGTCCGGCGAGGGAGGACGAGACTGCGACGCCAGCTGCGCCTGCTGAGCCACGGGCGGCGCAACAGGGGCAGCCGGGTCCACTGCAGGGGGCACAATCAACTGTGCCGGGCCGCCAGTGGTGGCGGACGCCGGCTGCGGGGACGAGGGAGGCGCAGAAGTCTGCGGCTCGTGGCCAGCAGCTGGTGGCCCAACGGGAGCGGGAGCCGGGAGTGCGGCGTCAGTCTTTGTCGGGGCTTCAAGTGGAGCCTGGGGAGCAGTTGGTGCAGACGGGGCGGACCGCTCAGCAGCAGCAGGGGCCGCAGACTGAGCGGCAGCTGCGGCAAGGGGAGCCGCGGGTTCGGGGCGAGGAGGCTTTTCAGCGGATGTTGTCGAGGGCTTCGGAGCCGGAGGCACCGGGGGCTTCGTCGCCGTGGTCGCCTTTCCGGGCTTAGACTGAGGCTTGGCGACCACTGCCGACCAGGCGGCAACGCGCTCTGGCGACGGCTCGGGAGCTCCAGCAATCACCATCGCGAGGTCGGGCAGCACGGGAAGAGAGGAGGCAGGCGGTTAGCGGAACAGGCGGAGGGCCGGAGAACGGGTTTCAGGCTGCGGGACGTCGGGCTTTAATTGCTCTAGTAGCTGCCAATGAAGAAGGGGAGAGAAATGACCCCTCTTATACCGCGGAAGCGGAGCCAGAGAGTGAAAATGAAGATGAAGGGGATGGAGCAGAGGCAACGAGAGTAGGGACGGAGAGGAGAAGACCTGGGACAGCCAATTTACCCACAGCGGGAACAGAGGGGCGTGCAGGGCCATTGGATGCTGATCGAACGGATGAGAATCCAACTCGGCAGCAATCAACGACATCGAGTCGTGCACGCAGACATCGGACCGCATCCCTCCACCCTGTGTCAGGATCGACCCCGCAGCGCCCCCGCTATTTTTCGCCAGTGGAGCTGGCAGAGATGGGGGACAAATTCGCTGACATCGCGAATTGGGACATTTCCGCCCTCTGCGACAGTCGCCAACCGCCGCTGTCGAGACGATTACCGCCAAACCTGTGCCAGTTATTTTCGCTGGCACTCCTGACCCCGCTACACCACCTCTCGCGAAACCCTGACTCCGAAGCGGGTTGGAAACTGCTTCTTTTCCTCCCGCGTCTGACCCTTCGCCAGGCTTCGCCAAAACACCCAAATTGGCCGCAAATCAAGGCCCGTCTTCGGGCTTTCCAGCGTGGCGAGTGGTCGCAGCTCTACCAGGATGCGGTAAACGCGATCAACGCCCCTCCGCCCCCACGCCACCGACCCGATGTGACAGGTGTACTGAGCAGAGCCGAGGGGTTGGCGAAACGTGGCAGTCTGCGCCGAGCCGTGCTGGCGCTCGAGTCAACACCCGTCTGTACACCGAGTCCAGAAATCCTGGACGAACTCCGACAAAAGCATCCACCAGCGGGGGATGAACCGCTGACCTGGCAAGCAGCCGACACTCAGCCCCTGGGCATTTCCCACGCGGAATTTGCGAAGCTCCTCGGGCGATGCGAGAATGGTGTCGGTGCCGGACCTTCGGGTACAACATTTGAGCACCTGCGCGATGCTGCAATAACCAATGCATCCGTCAGCACCCATCTGCACGCCTTGGTTAATACAATTCTGGGGGGAAATCTCCCAGATTCGGTGGCGGACCTGCTCACAGCGTCTCGACTCATAGCCCTGGCCAAACCTGGGGGCGGGGCCCGACCAATCGCAATAGGCGAATGCCTGACGCGGCTGGCTGCCAAGGCTGCGCACTTGGTCATGGGGGATGCTGCACGTGAATACTTCCTACCCCTACAGTACGGCGTGGCAGTGCCAGGTGGAGCAAAAGCAATAATTCATGACGCCCGAACATACGTGGATGGCCACCCGAACAGCCTGGTACTGCAAGCCGACATCGCGAATGCTTTCAACAACATTTCGCGACAGGCTATCGCCGTTGCGTTACAAGAACCCAGCCTTTCGCCACTGCTACCGCTGGTCAAGCTGACTTACGGTAACCCGTCACAGCTGCATCTGGATGCAAACTTTACAAGCGACCCCTTGCAAAGTGAACGAGGCGTTCGCCAGGGCGATCCACTGGGCCCTCTCCTTTTCGCGGCGGGGATTCACCCCACACTCCGCGACAGTGCAGCAGCGCACCCTGATGTGCTTTGTTTGGCGTATGCGGACGACGTGACCTTCGTGGGGGAAAAACGTGCAGCTGTAGCTGCCTTCACCCACTTCACCTCAAAGCTGGAATTCCTGGGCCTGAAGCACAACCCGCAGAAGTGCACGGCATGGAGCGCATGCACGTGCAACTCAATTGAGCTGCCGCCATAAGTCCCTTTCTGCAAGGACGGCGTTCGGCTGTTGGGAAGTTTTATTGGTGCAGCAGACGGGGCATCTGCTTTCCTGGCTGGGCAATTGGGGGAGATGGCCAAGCCCTTGCCACTCATCGAGCGGGCAGATCCGCAGGTCGCTTCGCTGCTGATCACGCGCTGCATCTCCCGGCGCGTGGCGTACCTCACACGGACGACCCCCCTCAATCTCGTCTCCCGGGACACTTGGACGCAGTGGGGCCGCGATCTCTTGATGACATTGCTTACCTCGTGCAATATCCGAGCTCCAGCGGGTAGAGCGGAACAGTCGCGCGTGTGGGCTCAGGCGACCCTTCCTCCGTCTCTTGGGGGTGTAGGGATTACAGACCCTCTCATCGAGGGCGTATACGGATTCGTCGCAAGTTTCACGCAGGCGGCGCAGCTCTTCTCCACGCTCACTCTGTCCCCGGATTCTGCCCTGTCGCACGCATTCGGCCATATGCTCCTGCCGAGAGACGAGAGCACTCCACTCCACTCCTGGCTCACTGAGTGCGAGACCACCCTGCCTTCAGACGCGCGTGAACTGTTGGAACGAGAGCGACTGAAACGGACGGATGTGAAGCTGCAGCACGCCCTCGCCCTCCAAGTCCACGGCAGTCGCTACGCGGTGCAGGTTCAGGAGACGAGGAAGATGCCGCTGAATCCGCTTGCAGGCCACACGCAGCGGATGTTTTCCTTGACGGGATACGGCACTGGGGATTGGTTGACGGCGATACCAATAGCCCCGAACAGGCGCATTGGACCGGTCCACTTCGCCAACGCCGTCAGATTTCGGCTCGGCTTGCCCTTCTCCACTCCCAAAAACTGTGACTGCGCGGACCACACAGCGATCACCGACCCCCGCCTCCCAAATCACCTCCTACGCTGCGGCACTAGCAAGCACCGCATCAACACTCACAACGAGGTCCGTGATGCTTGCATCAGCATGGCCCAGGATGCGGGATTCATAGTCCACAGTGAGTCGGCGGCCCATTGTCCCATCGAGGAGCAGACGGCCGACTTCACCATGACCGACAGGAGCAGCGGGGCAGTATGGGTGTGTGATGTGACTGTGACTGACCCTATCAGCACGCGGGACCCGGAGGCACAGAAAGGAAGGGGATGGGTGGCCAGAGAGCAGGCAGACAAAAAGATCCAGCACTATGCAAGTAGACCTGAGACGGTTGGTTTCTTCCCGTTGGCGGAGGAGACCTATGGCTGCCCTTGTGCAGAGGTCCCCGTCTTCCTGAAACTCCTGGCAGACACGGCGGCTCGGCGCCACTTCAACGCCGATTCTAACTCCTACTATGCCGCTAAGTTTCTGCATCAGTTCAGGCAGCGGTGGTCGGTTGCACTTCAGAGAGCACAGTCAGTGGGGTTGCTCATGAAGTTGGGTGAGGCGGCAGCCGCTGAGAACCCCCCGGTCGGGGGTATCGGCCAAGAACTACACCTAGGAGATTGCTTTGCTGTTTTGGAGCCACTTGTGGAACTGTAGATGGGATAGGCTGGGACTTGCATGCTTACCGAACCTGAACGTGTGTACCTTTCGGCCATATCAATATACGGACCATTAGAGAGGACCCTAGCCTCTGCCCTCTGCCCTCAGCCCTCTGACCTTAGCTTTCTAGCTATATAAAGGGGCTTTCTTGGCCTCTCTTCTTCATTGTGTGGTGGCAGTAAAATACGAGCTCGTTCGCTCAAGAGAGCGAGAGAGAGAGAGAGAGGACCCTAGCCTCTGCCCTCTGCCCTCTGCCCTCAGCCCTCTGACCTTAGCTTTCTAGCTATATAAAGGGGCCTTCTTGGCCTCTCTTCTTCATTGTGTGGCGGCAGTAAAATACGAGCTCGTTCGTTCGAGAGAGCGAGAGAGAGAGAGAGAGGACCCTAGCCTCTGCCCTCTGCCCTCTGCCCTCAGCCCTCTGACCTTAGCTTTCTAGCTATATAAAGGGGCCTTCTTGGCCTCTCTTCTTCATTGTGTGGCGGCAGTAAAATACGAGCTCGTTCGTTCGAGAGAGCGAGAGAGAGAGAGAGAGGACCCTAGCCTCTGCCCTCTGCCCTCTGCCCTCAGCCCTCTGACCTTAGCTTTCTAGCTATATAAAGGGGCCTTCTTGGCCTCTCTTCTTCATTGTGTGGTGGCAGTAAAATACGAGCTCGTTCGCTCCAGAGAGCGAGAGAGAGAGAGAGAGAGGACCCTAGCCTCTGCCCTCTGCCCTCTGCCCTCTGACCTTAGCTTTCTAGCTATATAAAGGGGCCTTCTTGGCCTCTCTTCTTCATTGTGTGGCGGCAGTAAAATACGAGCTCGTTCGTTCGAGAGAGCGAGAGAGAGAGAGAGAGGACCCTAGCCTCTGCCCTCTGCCCTCTGCCCTCAGCCCTCTGACCTTAGCTTTCTAGCTATATAAAGGGGCCTTCTTGGCCTCTCTTCTTCATTGTGTGGCGGCAGTAAAATACGAGCTCGCGCCGGCCGCCTTCGACGGCCGACGCTCGACAGCGCGGCCTCCGGCCGCGCGAGAGGGGACGGCAAGAGTCACCGACACAAGAAATACTAGCAAAGGATTACAAGGAATGGCAAGCGCTATATCATTCTAGGCAAACATGGCATCAACGGGGCAGTCGGAGCCCGCATCTACATGCGGTGAGCCCCAAGGGCGTGGAGAACGCCCGTCAGGGAGCGCCACAGCTCCCGGACCACAAGTGTGCTTGCGCCAATCGCCGCGGCTCCAGATCCCGCGCGCAAGTGCCGCCTCAGGCCCCGGACAGCTTCGTCAAGCTGTCCCGCAGCAGCAGCGCCACCCTCCGCGGGCGCAGCCAACACGGGCGCCAGCAACGAAGCGAGCTGGTCCGCCGCGTCCAAGCACGTGTCACGCTGGCTGCCGCGGAAAGTCTCCGGAGGAATCACGGGGAGAGATGAATGAGCGAGAACTTGAATCAGCAGCAACGCGTGGAGGCTCTCTGCGAGACGGTGGAGCTGGCCAAGTGTCGCCTCTGGAACACGCGTCTGCGGGGGCTGCAGCGCCTCCGTCAGAAACAACAGCGGCTCATCAGCAGCAACGTGGTGGGAATGCTGAGCCGCGGCGCCACCACCCGCGGCCACAAACTCCACCCCCGCAACAGGTGGGACCGGTGGCAAATGCAGACGGGAGCCAGGAGCAGGCGGCGAGACAGAAGGAAATGGAGCCGACGGGGCGAGGACAGGAGGAGGAAATGCAGCAGCCGGCGGAGGGGCCACAGGAGGCTCAGCCTGACGAGGAGCCACAGGCGCCGGCGCAGCCCGCAGCGAACTGCTCTGACTCTGCGCCACCCTTTCCTGGCGCACGGCCCGCGACACCTCCCGCTGGAGATCCGCCATTGTCACTGGCGGACGGTACCTCCCGCCACCACCACGCCCGTGGAGGCCCCTCCAGCCCCCATTGCCGCCAGGATGAGGAGGCCACTGGGCCTGCTGTTGATAGCGTCGGGGAGAGTTGCGCCGGCGCCGCGACGTCTCCCGCTCCTGTTGGGGTGCGGGAGAATGGGGGCGGGATAGAGGATGGGCCGGCGATGGGGTACGAGACGGCGGCACTACACGGGCCACCGGCAGCAGAGCGGGAGCCACAGGGTCCGCGCCAGGAGGCGCCACCATCGGAGCCGGGCCGTCAGTGGTGGCGGACGCCGCCTTCGGTGAAGAAGCAGATGCCGGCGCAGGCACGTCGGGGACTGAAGCGGCCCGTGCAACGACCACGCTAAGAGCAGGATCGGAGCGAGCGGCAGCATACCCAGCAGGCGCAGACGCCACAGGCGCAATCACGGGAGCCAGGAGCACAGGAGCAGGAGCAGCAGGCGGAGCGGTCGGAGCTTCAACAGGAGCAGACGGGCCAGCCTCGTCCACGCCAAGGGGAGCCGCGTGTGCGGGGGGGGGGAGTCTTTTCAGCGTCTGCTGTCGCGGGTTTCGGAGCCGGTGGTAGAGGAGGCTTCGGGGCCGTGGTCGCCTTTTCGGGCCCCGACTGAGGCTTGGCGACGACAGCCGACCAGGCGGCAGCGCGCTCTGGCGACGGCCCGTCAGCACCAGCAATCACCATCTCAAGCGCGGGGAAGTCGGGGGACGGAACGGCTAGCGGCAAGCGGGGTTGGCGGAGGTCCAGAGAACGGGTACCAGGCAGCGGCAAGAGCAGCTTTAACCAACCTAGATATGTCTAATGAGGACGACGAACAGCAGGATCCCTCTTATAGGGAAGAAGCATCGCCCAATAGAGAGGATGAAGAGACGGAGGAAGAGGAAGGTGGGGCAAGGGAAAACTCTGGAAGAAGGGAAGCAGTGGAGGAGCAAGCACGCCTGGACACGCCCCAGGAGACACGCCCACCGCTCGATGCCGATCGGACGGAGGAGCCTCCAACCTCCGCTTCCCGGGCGCGAGTGGGTCGTCCTAGAGGAAATCGGCAAGCGAACATTGGGGAGGCGACGCGCTCAGCCGCTCCGAACCCCCACTATTTTTCGCCTGACGAACTGGCGAAGCGAACAGACCTGTTCGCTGCCATTGGTACTTGGGACATCACGGCCCTGTGCGACAGTCGTCGGCCATCGCTGTCGCGGCGCTTATCGCCAAATCTGTGTCAGCTGTTCTCGCTGGCGCTACTGACGCCGTTACTCCACCTCTCGCGAAATCCCGAGTCAGAGACAGGATGGCGCCTGCTGTTATTTCTCCCGCGCCTAACCCTTCACCAAACCTCGCCACAACGCCCGGATTGGCCGAAAATCAAAGCCCGGCTCCGAGCCTTCCGGCGGGGCGAATGGGAGAAATTGTACCTGGACACGGTTGACGCAGTCAACATGCCACCTCCGCCGCGACACAGGCCCGATGCGACAGGTGTGATCAGCCGGGCTGAGGGTCTGGCGAAACGTGGCAGTCTTTGACGGGCCGTCCTCGCCCTGGAGTCAACCCCCGTCTGCACCCCCAGCCCCGAAATCCTGGAGGAGCTGCGTCAAAAGCACCCACCTGCAGCAAGCGAGGGGGTGATCTGGCCGACTCCGCGTGGGTCAACACTTTCAACCGCCCACGCGGATTTCGCCAAAATGTTGGGCAGGTGCGAAAATGGAGTTGGAGCCGGGCCTTCGGAGATGACATTCGAACACTTGCGCGACGCGTCTATCACAAATGCGTCGGTTCGCACCCATCTGCACGCCTTGGTTAACACCATCTTGGGAGGAAATTTGCCAGGCTCGGTGGCAAACCTCCTGACCGCATCACGCCTCATTGCTTTGGCCAAGCCGGGGGGTGGCGCTCGGCCAATCGCGATCGGCGAGTGCTTGACAAGGCTGGCAGCCAAGGCAGCCCTGACAGTGATGGGCGAAGCTGCCCGCGAGTTCTTCCTCCCACTACAGTATGGCGTGGCAGTGCCAGGTGGCGCCGAGACAGTAATCCATGCGGCCAGAGCTTTCCTGGATGCACGCCCCACCAGTCTAGTTCTGCAAGCTGACATCGAGAACGCATTCAACAGTATTTCGCGACAAGCCATCGCCACTGCGTTACATGCTCCCGAACTCTCGCCACTCCTGCCGCTCGTCAAATTAACCTACGGTAACCCATCGCAGCTGTACTTGGATTCCAACTACAACTCCGAACCATTGCATAGCGAACGCGGGGTCCGCCAGGGGGACCCACTTGGCCCGCTACTGTTTGCGGCAGGGGTACATGCCACGCTTCGCGACACTGCAGAGGCTCACGCTGGTGTACTTTGTTTGGCTTATGCGGACGACGTGACATTCATAGGGGACATTGAAGACACAGTAGCAGCATTTACCCATTTCACAAGCACTTTGTCACTACTGGGGCTCGAGCACAACCCACAAAAGTGCGCAGCCTGGAGCTCGAACGCAGTCCAAGCAACCCACCTACCTCCAGGGGTGCCGTTCTCAAAGGACGGCACGCAACTGCTAGGCAGCTTCATAGGGCCTGATAGCGGCGCGGCGACTTTCCTAGCGGGACAGCTAGACGACATGGCGAAGCCGCTAACACTCATCGAACAAATAGACCCACAGGTAGCGGCACTGCTCATCACGCGCTGCATTTCGAGGCGGGTCGCATACCTCATAAGGACGACGCCCCTAAACCTACTCCCCCGCGACAGATGGAGCCAGTGGGGTGTGGACCTGCTCACCACGCTTCTTACCGCTTGTGACATCCGCATGCCGACCTGCAGGACAGAGCAAACACGGGTCTGGGAGCAGGCGTCGCTACCCCCTTCACTGGGAGGTCTCGGTATTATGAACCCCCTCATCGAGGGGATTTACGGCTTCGCGGCGAGCTTTACCCAGGCGGCGCTCTTTCTCAACAAACTCTCGCTGGGAGAGGAGACCGCGCTTGCGCTGGCCCGGAATCATATGCTCCTGCCGCGGGACATAAGCACGCCACTGCATACTTGGCTGACGGGGTGTGAGGAGGCACTACCAACAGACGCTCGGGAGATATTAGAAAAGGAGCGGTTGGAACGCTCTGACATCCGGCTCCAACACGTGCTCGGACTGAAGATGCACGGGAGTAGGTATGCCGTGCAGGTGCAAGCGACGAGGCGCATGAGGCTGAACCCGCTCGCCGGACATACGCAGCGGATGTATTCTCTGACTGGCTACGGCACCGGCGACTGGATCACGGCGATTCCAGTAGCTCCCACAAGGCGGATAGGGCCAGTGCATTTCGCCAATGCTGTGCGCTTCCGCCTTGCGCTGCCGTTTTCTACTCCCAAGAACTGCGACTGCTCGGAGCACACGGCCATCACTGACCCCCGGCTCCCAAACCACCTGCTCCGCTGCGGCACGGGCAAGCACCGCACAAACACTCACAATGAGCTGCGGGATGCATGCGTTAGCATGGCACAGGATGCGGGCTTCATAGTCCATCAGGAGTCAACCGCCTACTGCCCCATCGAGGAACAAACGGCGGATTTCACAATGTCGGACAGAAGCAGTGGAGCGGTTTACATCTGTGACGTCACTAGGGACCCTGAGGCTCAGAAAGGCAGGGGGTGGGCGGCACGAGAGCAGGCCGACAAGAAGATCAAGCACTACGCCAACCGCCTAGAGACGGTTGGCTTCTTCCCCCTGGCAGTAGACACTTACGGCTGCCCATGCGCTGAGGTTCCCGTATTCCTGAAGCTCCTTGCAGACTCGGCGGCTCGGCGGCACTTCAACACCGACTCCGAATCTTTCCATGCCGCCAAGTTCTTGCACCAGTTCCGGCAGCGTTGGTCCGTGGCCCTGCAACGGGCCCAATCCGTGGGGCTTCTAATGAAGTTGGGTGAGGCAGCGGCGGATGAGAACCCTCCAGTGGGGGGCATTGGGCATGAGCTGCACCTGGGGGACTGTTTTGCAGTGGTGGAACCACTCCTGGAGCTCTAGAGTGGGGCAGTAGGGTGGGGGTAGCAGTAGAGGCTTAGGTGATGTTGCTCTGTGTTTTCATTTGCTTGCTTTCTACCTTGCATGTGTGTACTTTCAACTACTATCAATACAGGGACCATTAGAGAGAGAGAGAGAGAGAGAGAGGAATAGCCTCTGCCCTCTGCCCTTAGCCTCTGCCCTCGGTTGCCTAGATATTTAAGGGCCCGTCTCACCCTCCCTTTCCTCATTATTCAGTTGGCGGCTGAAATTTTCCGCTCGTTCTTTCGAGAGAGCGAGAGAGAGAGAGAGAGAGAGAGAGTGAGAGAGAGAGAGAGAGAGAGAGAGAGAGAGAGAGAGGAATAGCCTCTGCCCTCAGCCCCTAGCCTCTACCCTTGCCTCTAGGCCCTACTTAAGGCCTTCCTGAAGGCTGTTCTCCTCATTGCTTGGCTGCTAAAAAAATTTCCCTCGTTCGAGAGAGAGCGAGAGAGAGAGAGAGAGGAATAGCCTCTGCCCTCAGCCCCTAGCCTCTACCCTTGCCTCTAGGCCCTACTTAAGGCCTTCCTGAAGGCCGTTCTCCGGATTGTTTGGCGGCTAAATTTTTTTCCCTCGTTCGAGAGAGAGCGAGAGAGAGAGAGAGAGAGAGAGAGAGAGAGAGAGAGAGAGAGAGAGAGAGAGAGAGAGAGAGAGAGAGAGGAATAGCCTCTCCCCTCAGCCCCTAGCCTTTACCCTTGCCTCTAGGCCCTACTTAAGGCCTTCCTGAAGGCCTTCGGCGGCCGACGCTCGACGGCGCGGCCTTCGGCCGCGCGTGCGGTGTGGCAAATGCAAACACAAGCGATTGATAACAAGCAAGGACATACATGCAATGGCGGATCCTACTGTACACTAGACACACATGACAACAATGGGGCAATCGGAGCCCGCGACTACATGCGGTGAGCTCCAAGGGCGTGAAGAACGCCCGTCAGGGAGCGCCACAGCTCCCGGACCACAAGTGTGCTTGCGCCGATCGCCGCGGCTCCAGATCCTGCGCGCAAGTGCCGTTTCAGGCCCCGGACAGCCTCGTCCAGCTGTCCCGCAGCAGCAGCGCCACCCTCCGCGGGCGCAGCCAACACGGGCGCCAGCAACGCTGCGAGCTGGTCTGCCGCGTCCAAACACGTGTCACGCTGGCGGCCGCGGAAAGTGTCAGGATGAATCACGGGGAGGGATGAGTGCGCGATCATCTGAATCAGAAGCAGCGCATGGAGGCTCTCCGCGAGGAGGTGGAGCTGGCCGTGTGTTGCCTCTGGAACACGCGTCTGTTAGAATCTTAGAACGAACGAGAATGATGAAACTAGGCATGAGGGGAATACAAGTAGGAAACCCGAACAAAGTTGTACCCCCTAAGGCTAAACCCACTATAGCCTACACAATATAAATATGTATAATGTTTGACACACCCCCATAGGCTAAGTGGGAGACAACCAGATGGTCACAAGACCAGTCAAAGCAAGGCAAAGCAAGCTCAAGGTGGATCTCAAGGAAACCACACAAATTCTGAGCACAAGCAAGTGGTCACAAGACCAGTTCACATGCAGGTTGATAATATAACAAGAGGTACAGTGATCACAACCTAGCAGGTGTAAGCATGCAGGTATATAAATAGAGATCACGGTACAAACAGAGTCAAGAAGTAAGCAAGTGAGGCCCAGTGGGCACCAGGCCTAGAACAGTACAGAAGCGCTGATGATCACAAGGCTGGAGTGCCTTGGTGAACACATCAGCAGTGTTGGCCCGAGTGGCCACGTAAGCGAGACGAAGCTGACCACGCAACTGCAGCTCTCGAGCAAGGAAGTAGCGCAGAGCGATGTGCTTCGTTCTATGCTCCAGTCTGTGCTCCTGACACAAGGCAATGGTGGCCTTGTTGTCAACGTATAGCACTGGAGGAGAAAGAGGCCGCTCTCCCAGGTCAGTGAGCAGGTAGGTGAGCCAGCGTAACTCCTGTGCAGCCATGGCTGTGGCGTAGATCTCAGCCTCACAACTGGAGCTGAGAACTAAAGACGAGCGAGTAGAACGCCAAGAAACTGAACCAAAGCCAAGG